CGCTCGGCGCAGCTCGTCCTCGGCGTTCCGGGCCCGGTCCAGCGCGTTGTCAGCCGTGGCTGCCGCCCCAGTGCAGCTCAGGCCGCCGCAGTGACGCCTGCCGTCCTCATCCTGGCAGCCGGCCCCGCCGCAGGGGCTGCTGGAGCAGGGCGCGTCCCCCGGCGCCCCGCACACCTGCACACGCGGGCGAGAGCCGTGCCAGGGCTGTGCGGGGTCACCCCGGCCCACGCCCACCCCAGGCTTTCCCGCAGCCCGGCCCCACCTTCTCGTTGATGCGGTGCAGGTTCAGGGCGCTGGCCTTGGCCTCCAGGTCGATGAGGGCGCGCCGGCTGGCCGCGTTCTTCCGGTTGAAGTCGTCCCGTTCCTGGGTCAGCAGCTGCTCGGCCCGGCGCCGGGTGGCTGCCGAGTCCCGCACGGGGCTGGGCACGGCCAGGCTGGAGGCGTTGGCGCGGCGCTCCGCCTCCTGTGACTGGGCGTGAGACTGGCGCACGCTGTCATAGGCGCCTGCTCGGGGGACAGGCGGCCACGGCGTGAGACCCCTGCCCCAGAAAGCCCCCGGCTCGCCCAGCTCCAGCCCTGGCCCCGGTGCTGCTCACCCAGGAAGTTGGAGTCCTTGAGGCGATGGAGCTCCTGCGCCAGGCCATGCAAGCTGACGTTGAGGCTGCGGGTGCCGCGCTCCAGCGTGCTCAGCGCGTGGCTGGCACTGAAGGTCTTGTCCTGTGTGGCCGTCAGCTCTGCCTCCAGCTGTGTCAGCGCCTCCGTGGCCTCCTCGATGCCCTGCCTGCCACGGGCACTGGGTGAGCTCCTGCAGCCCCAGCCCAGCTGCCCTGCCCCTGCCAAGGACCCTCGGGCTGGCCTGAGGACCCCAACCCACCACCCTGGTACTAGTGGTGGGGTCTGCCCATGGGGGAACGCGTGCAGGGGCCCGGGCACCGTGTGGGGGCTGTCCCAGCCTCTGGCAGCGTCTGACAGCCCCGGCACCGGCCCGCTCACCGCAGCTCCTCCATGGTGCGCATCAGGTGGGTGACAGTGGCCACGGTGGCATTGCGGGCTGCAACGATGGCCTGCACCGCGCCCAGCTTCTCTTCCAGCTGCCGGAAGTGCCTCTCGAAGGCGCCGGCCAAGCCGGTGTGCTGGATGTGGCGGGCGCGCTGTGCCAGGCTGCGGGTGCGGGCGGCCAGGTCCTGCACGGCCCGGTCCCAGTCCCCGAAGCACTGGTGGCAGGGCCGGCAGTCGGGGAAGGTGCCGGTGAAGCCGCGGGCGCACTGGTCACAGCGCACGCCCGAGACGCCGGGACGGCAGGCGCAGTGCCCGGTGGTGCGGTCGCACTGGGGGCTGGCGATGCCGCGGGGGTGACAGTCACAGGCTGCGAAAGGGCAGCGGTGTCAGTCGGGGGCCTCAGAGCCCCACCCCGCCCCACCCCACCCCACCACGCAGCACTCACCGCGGCACTGCTGGCCGGGGTCGCCCCAGTGGTTCTCCTGGCAGTCGGCGCAGGTGCGGCCTCCGAAGCCTGGTTGGCACGGGCACTGCCCTGTGAACTGAGACCAGCACCTGGCTGCTGTGAGCCGTGCAGGGGCCCTGCCGGCCCCGCCGGGGGGG